TGCACCTGTCAAGTACTCATCATAGTTTAACCCCTGTTCATAACTGGGGCTTTTTGGTGCTGCAGTGCAAATAAACACATAACATAAAATGACAGATACGCTACTGCAGAGGACAGGCAGCTTGCGTGAAAAGAATACAGGTATTCTCCCAAGTAATTTCAAGAACAAATTACTACCAATAGTAGTCTACAAGACAGCTTTACTGAAGGAAATAATTTTCATGGGAAGTATTTGGTGCAGCTCAAAGGAAGAAATTTAATGTAGTTTTAGTGCCCAAAGACAAGAGGTTTATGGACATTTCAAAACTGTAGTAGTTTTATCCCTAGATAAAGAAATATTTCATGAAAAATCTGAAGAAAACCCAAAGCTTTTGAGTGACTACTGGTGTTTGGAGCCTGCAAGTCCCTCTTCTTTGATTGTTTTAGTTACTATTTAGAGTGAAGTAACTAACTCAGTAATTAAACTGTCAATTAAACCAATGATACATACAGTATACAAAGCAAGTTTATTCCAAATACAGTACTCTAAAATAGTGATACTCTTCAACAATCACAAAAACATTTAAAAGAAAAAGCAAACTTTCATAATTATTTCACTCTCACCTTGTAATTTCTTAACATCCAAGTTATCATCATATATGCTGGGACAGGAGGCTGTCAGAAACACTTCCATCCCTGAGAGTGGTATGGTTTCTTTTGTGTCTCACTTTAATGAAGTGCCTTCATTTGATTTTGAGTGCCACAATGAAGGTTTTACTCAAGCATGAACCTGAGGCTGTGGCTATTTCCTACTGGTGCAATCGACCCGGGGTATGTAGTTCAAGTGTGTTTGTGTTTAGTGGCACAATGTTGTCTGCTCTGGTAATTAAACTCCAGTAACAGTGAGAAATGGATTTCAATAATAAATGCAGGTAAGAACCGCTTTCTTCCCAAATGCTACACAGATGAAAGACATAATTTTTTCTTTGCTTTCATTTTTCAGTGGCAGTGTTAAATGTCAAGTGTTTCACTACACGCCTTTCACATCCTAAATATCTTGGACTTAGTTCAGCGTTTTGAATACCATGTAAATTATGTAAATCTTGAGGCTTAAATGTAAGCTTGGTATCCTCTGAAGACACTGTCTACTTACGAAGTCTTTCTTGCCAATCTTAAATGTTCCAAATAAACTGCTCCAAACCTCATCACAATATTTTTCTCTGGAATCAGTTAGTCAGATTGTCCTTTTCAGGCTACCAAATGCTGATGTACAGCCACACTCTGCCCTCTGTTAGGCAACGGGCACATAACGATTGCCTGTCAGAAAGACAGGTAGAACTGGTTGGATGTCTGGTTATAAGTAATTTATTATAGATGGGATATCATCCATAAAGGAATAAGGACATTCTATCATTTTTCTTTTAATATACTAGCTGAAATACAACCCGAGTCATTAACTGGTGTCTACTAGTAGTAGGTATGTCAGATAGAAATGCCATCTGATTTTCCTTTCATTCAGAATTCCCCAAAATGTTTTTTGGGAGTCTTCCGACAACAGCCCAGCTCTCAACCAATGCATGCAGTATGGGCAACAAACAGGAGTAGCTGGAAACCACTGTGTGCTGCTAGAAAGCTACGACCTTGTTGCTGTTACTGAAACTTGGTGGGACAAATCCCGTGACTGGAGTGTGGCTGATGGCTACAGGCTGTTCAGAAGGGACAGGTGGGGAAGGAGGGGCGGAAGCATTGCCCTCTACATCAAGAAATGGATAGAGTGTGAAGAGCTGTCTCTGAAGAACAGCCACGAGCAGGTTGAAAGCTTATGGGTAGGAATTAGAGACTGAGGCAACAAAGGGAACCTTGTGGCTGGGGTCTACTACAGGCTGCCTGATCAAGGGGAGTCTATGGATGAAGTCATCTTACTCGAGCTACAAGAGGCTTCGTGCTGACAGGCTATTGTCCTGCTGGAGGACTCCAACCACCCCAACATCTGCTGGAAAAGTAGCATGGCGAGCTGTAGGCAATCCAGGAGACTCCTGGAGGGCATGGAGGAGAACTTCTTAAGCTAGGTAATAGACAGCCCTTCCAGAGCAGATGCCATACTGGACCTGATGATCACCAATTCAAGAGAGCTAACCGGTGATGTCAAGATTGAGGGCAGCCTGGGCTGCAGTGATCACACACTGGTGGAGTTCACAGAACGAACAGTGG